ATACTGTACCATATCCCACTCCTGACACCATTTGTTAGGGCTTTTCTTAATATGGTACAGAACACAGACACAAAGGCTGGATTTGTTTTTCCCACATAAAACTGTTTTATTGTACAAAATTAAACTATCTTATTCTACTATCTTCATATTACTATAAGTTTACAACTATTTCTATATGTTCTATTTCTATGTTCCTATTCCTATGTCTGTAGCACTATGTTTTCTTATCTTAACTATTTCTTAGCTCTTTAAATCTTTCCTTTTAGGTGCTCAGCTTTAGGTTGGTTTCTATTTCCCAAGTCTCTGCTGTCTTCCTGGCTTAACTCCTTTCTTGACACACCCACATACATGCTGGATTTCAGTTCCCTTTTTATAAAACAAACTCTCCAATTAAGGAGAGGCAGGGCTGTTTTAACCCTCCTTCCCAGGTAGGACCAAAACTCTGGATCCCAGGAAGGAAAAAATGCAGGTAGTGAGTTTACTCTTCCAGAATCATAAACCACCTAAAGTTTAGGTTTGAGATGGTATACAAAGCTAGTTAATTAATTAATTATTACCATCTTACTCTCTTAAACTGAAATTTGATCATAAGTCAGAGTGAAATAATAGTTTTTACTCCACTGAGCCATGAAGCTTGATGAACGAAATCTTAGCCTTGCATATCTTATAATGCTGCTGTAAGAAAAAAATAGAATGGTACTATCCATAAAACCTACCATAAATTTACTGGAAGACTTATGGGATAAAAAATGAAATATGCAAAAATAATTCTACAAGAATGAAAAGATACCCTAAGAAGTCGAAAAGATGGGAGATTAAAAATAATTTTATGGAACCATGAAAAGTATGGCGCGAGTGTTTATATGCTCATATACATATATGCTGAGCCCAGCCTTTAGATTTAAACATGACAGCAAGTTCAGTGATATTTACTTGCCAGAATATGCTTAGGAATTTTAAGACTCATCATGCTGCTGACTTGACGGTCAAGGTTACGTTGTCTTCCATTGCCGTGAGCTATTATGCCTACATTGAACTGACACTGGAGGTTACAGCCAGAATTGAAGAACTTCTTTTCAGAAAGGACAGATTAATTCACAGTAAGACTGGTGATACCCAGGGTGGGGTTCTGAAGCTTCATGCATAGCATGCATATGAGCTGCAGTAGCTGTTTCATTTCACAACTTCATTTCACAACTTCACAACAGTCTATATAGGTAGTCCCTGATTTACAACAATTTGTTTAGTGACTGTTTGAAGTTACAACATAACTGAAAAAAGTGACTTACAACCAGTCCTTGCACTTATGACCATCGCAGCATCCTTGTGGTCATGTGATCAAATTTCAGGCTCTTGGCAACTGGCATATATTTACGATGGTTGCAGCATCCCAGGGTCACATGATTGCCATTTGTGACCTTCCCAGCTGGCTTCTGACAAGCAAAATCAATGGGGGAAGCCAGATTCGCTTAACAAGCATGTGATTTGCTTAACAATTACATGATTTGCTTAATGACTGTGGCAAAAAAGGTAAAATTGGGTGCAGTCATGTGATGCCTCACTTAATGACCCCATCGCTTAGTGACCAACATTCTGGTCCCAATTGTGGTCTTAACTCCTACCTGGAGTCCCACTCATCTTGACTAAAGTCCACCAACCTTAAATGGAAAGACTATACCATTCTGTAGCTGAGGGGTTGCTCTGCCTACATGGCTAGCACAGTAAAGTTGTAGACCTTCTACCTGGCTTGTTTTCAAGGACGTTGACTTCCATGATGTAATGACATTGGATTCTGCTGATTCTTCTGCAGGGAAACCATACTGAGTTCTGGAACTAATCTCACATCAAATCATTCTGTTACTTCTACTATATCTCTAGAGTTATGTCAGCAAATCTCTCTCTTTCTGTAAAAAGGGGTTACTGAGAACATCATTTCTGAGGATTGTGCTCCTGCCTTCTTTTTTAAGTACTTTACCATTCAAGAACAATGGCAGGCTTAGGCTTATATTGGATCTTTGCTGCTATTTTTTGAGATGTTCTCATTTCTGGAATATACTGATTGCTTCTGTACTTCCCATCTTGCAAAATGGGATGTATGGCATAGGGTGTGGATACCTGAGAGACTGTTTATCTCCAGTCGTTTCTGCATGCCCAGTGTGTTCCAGAAGACTGGGTGTATTCAAGGTCCCCTCCATTAAACATTGCCATCTTGTGGGACCTAGGAAGCGTGCTTCTCTGTTGTGGCCCCTGTCCTCTAGAACAGCATCCCCCCAGAGATAAGAATGACACCCTCTCTCCCGGGGTTTGGAAAGCCTTGAAAACCTGGCTTTGGTCCCAGGCCTGTTTTGTTTTGTGGGTTTTGTTAGCAGAGCATTTTAGTCTGGGCTGCCTGTTGATTTAATGTTTCTCGCTGCTTTTGTGTTTTTTAGTTTTATATGCCACCCAGAGTCCACTGGCAGCCAATAAATGTAAATAAAATAAAAATGTAGCTCATGTCTATGGATTTGCAGGATGCATACTTTCACAGAAAGCTTAATTGTTCATCCTATCACTTTTTAGTAGATGGATGCTGTAGTCGGGAGCAGTTGGCCCTTTAAATCAAAAGCCAGACTCATGTGCCCAGAGGGAGTCACCTGACCCCCTAGGGCCAGTGAAAAAAAAGAAGGGAGGTTCTGTCAGGTTTTGGCAGGAAGAGTCTTGGGTGTCTTTTGTGAGGGAGTTGGCTGGAATCCTGGATGATGGGATTAGGCAAAGTTGAAAGGTATTTAACTATACTTAGAATTGTGTTAGGTTTTTTTTTTCTTTTATATTTAAACTGAGTGTTGTGTGTGTATAAACCTATTTTCTTTTGGTACCTTTAATAAAGTTGATTTTTGTCTCAGTCCTGGAACTGACTGCTTGCCTTCTATCACCTGCTTGATATCTGTCACCTGGCTCAGCTACAAACTTCCAGAGTTCTTGTTTTGGTTTCCCTTTTTGTATTTAGCCAGACCCAGGTGGGGAGAGGTTTTCCCTTTCAATCTTCCCCTGGTTCCCCAGAGGGCTGGTGGGGAAGGGGGAAGCAGATTTATAGCAAGGGGGGCGGGTGGCAGCAAGGAGACTTATCTTGTCAGTCGCTGTACACCCACAGGCACAGGTTACCTCAGAACTGAAGGACCTCAGAGGAGGGGCTGGTTCGACCCTGAGGGCTATTCAGATAAGGCAGCCATCAACAGGCACATAGAGATAAACAACATCTACACATTATTCAAAAGAGACAATAGAAAGGAAAGCAAAAGACCAGAACCAGCAATCATCACACAGATAAGCAGAGATTAACACCAAGATCACCAGCAGACATACAATCAAGCAGTAAACAATACCCTAATCAAGGAATTACCAGAGAAAAAAACAAAACAAAACCCCCATCCCCACCAACACTGGCAGGGCATGCCACAGTTTATAAACAGAGAGCAAAACCCATTCCAT